ATGCATATCAAATTTGCCATGATTCTTTCGTCATTGAGGTTTTTTCTCGAGCTTTTTCTTTTGCGTTTCTGAACCAACATGGATGCTCGTCTCACCCCACTTTTCCTAGACATACATTCAACCTTTAACAAATTTCATTAAATTAATCTCTGAAAATGTGTTTGCATGTGTTGCTTGATATGTCTGGTTTCACTATATTGCTACTAACCGTTTGTATTCCGGGTCATCGTTACTTAGATTGTGCACATTTTTGAGGTGCTTGTCTACCCGGCACACCATGGCTGAACAGTCTTCAAAAGAACAATGCCCGTTTCTGGCGCACACCTACTTTCACTGACCTCGGCTGCCGTCTTGCAACTTGGCTAGTTTCAGCCTTGGACAGCTTGTGTCCATTAACGAGGTGGCTTGAGAGATACTTAATCTCCTTACCACACTCCGGTCACACTTTTTCTCGCCTAATTTGGACCTAAAGAAAATATATAAATTTGAATGAAAGTTTAATTCAAACCACATATTTGGAAGGAAAGAAGTGTTTTAGCATACCCTTTCTCCTTCGTCACTCTTTTTGTCTTTGGTGTTTTCGACTGTCAAGGGATCTTCTATATCGCTCTAAATGTCAAAAATGTTATTTTTTATTTTTTCTCTGCATTGCAAGCTATAAATGGGTTTCATTTTTTCTTACAACGTCGGAAAAGAGCTGCAATGACTCTTTGTCACTTGATGCCTCCTCCCTTTTCTCTTCATCATCCTTCTTGCTTTAAATGAAATGATTTCATTTTACTTGTTAATCAGGCACAAATATTTGACAATATCTTAGTTGAAATGATAATGAAAATGTGAAAATAATTTGGCAGCAACAAATATTTATGCACTCTTTTTTCCTCCTGCTGATCATCATTCGATTCGACCAAAGAAGGCTTTGATGAACGCTTGCGACTCTGTCAAAGGAAATTAATAAATAAGATTTTTTGTGCAAGCAAAGAGCGAGGCACAATTATCTTTAAATTGAACATATCTTAGCTGAAATCATAGTGATACTGAAAATGTGAAAATAATTTAACAGCAACAAATATTTATGCACCCTTTTTTCCTCCTCGTGATCATCATTCGATTCGACCAAAGAAGGCTTTGATGAACGCTTGCGACTCTGTCAAAGGAAATTAATAACTAAGAATTTTTTCAAGCAAAGAGCAAGGCACAATTATCTTTAAATTGAACATATCTTAGCTGAAATCATAGTGATACTGAAAATGTGAAAATAATTGAGCAGCAACAATTGTTTACGCACCGTTTTTTTTCTTGTGTTTGTCATAATTCACACTTTACCCAAAGTGCATTACATTATGCTAGCCACTGGAAATTATTGTCACTATCTATATATCATTTATCTATAAAAGCCTGCATGGCCAAGCACCAATTAAGATATATTGATAATTTACTTACAAATAACTACTCGATACATGGCAGAGAAACAAGACATGCAAAGCTGAACTTAGTCTGCCTTAAATTTAACCAGGTAACTGAAGGAGGTAGATAATTTACGGTGACAAGTATAAAATTTTGGAACAGTCTCCCAATGGAAATTAAAATGAAAACTAGTCTCTCCTCCTTCAAAACAAGTCTTAAAAACTATTTTATAGAAATATATAAGCTAGTTTTGGAAATTCTGTTGGATTCGATGCAATCGCAACGCTATTCACAATTCGCAATTTTGTAATTGGTTTTATATTTTTTTTCACTGACAATATAGACACAGTTCTTACATCTCTGTTATCTCTTCACAATTAATTTACTTCACGTTTCCTACCTGATTATATCTTCTCTGTCACCTACTCTGTCATTGGTTGCTATACTAATTAATTATTCATGCACCTTAAATATTTAACACGATCTTTCGTACTTTTCGGTCCAACTTCATCCGTCAAATCCGCCTCAACTACAGGTCCTTTTAATACCATTTTGAAGGCTTAGGCAACCTTTCACAAGAAATTTACTCAAGATTGCGCAATGATTTTGTGTGTTTGTGCAGTTGCGACAGTCAGCGATAGAAGGGGATAACTCAGACCACATGAAAATGTTGCTTTGCAAAACCGCTGACGCGTGCATTTAATTTCGCACGCATTAATTTCGTGTGCATTTAATGCGAATTTATTTTCGCAGCCAGGTTGAGAATGCTCATTTGGAGTGTAGGCACTTTTCAGTGCTGTGAAAAACCTTTTGGTTCAGCGATTGGATCATTTTGAAGTCCTAAGTTTTAAATAATGTTTTTATCTTTATCTGTATATATTATACACTTTGTTTTGTTTTCCCAAGAGTCTGAATGTTTCACGAGACGAAGTCGAGGGAAACATTGAGACTCGAGGCAAAACAAAACTCACTATTTCCCGAGGTGTAGCGAACATTAAATGTTTTGTTATATAGGAACCAAAACATACATGTTACACGACAATTTCATTTCAAAAAACTTTGTTATGACAATATGCAGGCAACAATTTTTCACTTGTTTCCCTGGCGGGAAACATTGCATTTATTTAAAGTCATGTGACTACGAATGAACCAATCATATTTAAAATACACAGCACCTATATAACAATGAGTGTGAGTTTTACGTATGTAGAGTTTTACGCCACCGTATATACGTATATAACATGAATTTTATATAGAGTTTTACGCCACCGAGAAAAACCGTATTTAAACACACGTAAACCCGTTTACACTACATTCGATTTATTGGCATGGCACGGCTAAAATTGGGTACCCATTTCATTTGTGGCCGGCCTTTGTTTTGGTAGCCTGAGCACTAATATTGGGCCGTGCCAATAAGCTGACTTGTAGTGTAAACGGGGCTCAAGAATCCACAGACTATAAATATCGCGGACACGCCTAAAATCTAGGTACGCAAGATTCCTATTAAATTTTTTTTTTCCATTCAATAAGTTTAAAAATTTTCAGCCAATTTTTTGATTTTTTGCTGTGTGTGGTTAAGATTTTACCTCATACCCGGAAATGCCCGAAAACATGTTTAATTGCCATAGAAATGTTTGAGTCCGGAATAATCTAAATTTAAAGAAATTTCTTTAAATTTTTTTAAATAATCATAAATTTAAATTCATAAAGAGATTTCTTTAGATTTCTTTTTAAGGAGATTGCTTTAAAGATTAGTTACTGCTATCAGTTTCCTTACAATTTCATGTTTTCAAACACGCTTTTGATTTCACAAAGAATTTCAAATAGCAACGCTATGTGGTAAATTCATTATTGCAAGGCGAAAAATACAATCGTGATGTCTGTACATGTGTTTTGCATGTTGTTTTTTTGTTTAATATTTATGCACATTTCTGTTTATTGTAATGTCAATTGCATATGTGTGGTTTGTGAAGGCATTCAAAAAAAATAAAATCACTATAAATGTCTTGACGATTCGTCGTGTCATAATTGTTCGTTTGGATGTCCGTTTCCATGTTTGTTTGGCTGTTTTTTTGACTGTTTGTTTGGCTGTTTGTTTGGCTGTTTGTTTCGCTGTTTGTTTGGCTGTTTGTTTCTCTGTTTGTTTCGCTGTTTGTTTCGCTGTTTGTTTCGCTGTTTGTTTGTCTCTCCCGGACGCAATCCTTTCACCAACACTTATTTCATAACATTGCCCATTATGTGAATATATTCAGTTGAGTTGTGATTATCTGTTCCAAAATACATTGCCAACCAAAGCAGGACATTGTAATCGAGAATCGGTATAACACGCGAGAAGCACATGACCAGTACAGATGAAGTGTGTGCATTGAACGATTGACCCAAGCTTGGTCGAATGGAAACGATAGATACGAAGAAAGTAAATTTGGAGACAAACACCAAGAACCCAAATCAGCCAAATTGCAGAAACTTGCATGTAAATTTTGTGATCAACTATTTAAACCTTACAAACGGCCGAATTATATGGACTAAGTGTCTGTTTCTGCATTAGTATTATTATTATTAAAATCAAACTTATGTAACTATAATAGGCATTGGAATTGACAGGCTCTTTCCCAGAACGCAAGTAATGTAAAATTTATATATATTTAAAACTCGAGAAGGCCAAAAATAAGTAAGGAATGTTCTCCCTCCGAACGCAAAATTTAATCTATATAGCTATAGTTATAATCTTCTATGTAGCGTGTAAGTGTAAAACCAGATTCCATATAGCTGGTTTTCGTGACTCATGTTGTATCGTTATTGTTGAATATAATTATTCAGAAAATTTGGTAGTCGTTGTGGCCGATTGAATACAGTCCCAACAGTTGATGAGGTTTTGGTCTTGATATGATTAATGTTATCTTAATGGAAAGATATTTTTGTTTTAACAATGCAGTAATTGGCTGTTTTATATATACTGCTGGATATACCGATATGCTCATCGTTTAGATGTAAATGAGGGGGCGGTTGTGTCAAACTCTTGACTACCTTTTAACTACATCAACTACCCAAGGTTAACTAGGTAAACGTAGTTAACGTTAACACACACTAAGGTTTTAACCGTTAGCCACTCCGAAAAGTTCCCCTTGAAGCTTGTAAGCTTTCAATATATTTTTGTCATGGGCAGCAAAGGAATATATATTTGCTTAGGATGAAGTGTCGATGCCGAATTACGCTCTTAATGAAGATCACTGCAGATTAGCCAACTCATTTTCATTAGCAACCTGTAATTTACTTAAAAGGGACGTCTCACATTTTCATGATAGCAACCTGTAGTTTGACTTAAAAGGGACGTTTCACATTAAGAGCGCCTTTTTCGTTGAATTATTTATTTTTATATTTAACTTTTTTTGTTCCTTTGCGTTTTTCAATATTTTCGTTCAAAATACTGTCAATTTTTTTAAGTGACTGTCCTCAGTCTTTGTTCAAAGTCTATAATTATAGCAAAAGTCAAAAATTTTGTGGTTACTTTATCTTGTGTAGTTACTGCGCAAAATACACGCGTTAAAAGTTAAAACTACCTTTTTATACAACCGGTCCAAGCTGAAAAAAATAAAATCACAGGTATACTACTATAAAATAACTTTTTATAGCCTTGGAGATTGATATTGGACACGGCAAGTTAAAGATTTCGTTTAAATGCTTTCCATCCTCAAATTTCAAACGGTACAAACAACATTCATTTACAAGAAAAAATTTAACCCACATGCATATACGGGATAGCGCTAAATCTATAGAATTTAGAGCATGCCTAGAACCTATCCATAAGGCTTAGGCTTAGCAGTCATTGCATTATATTCATTATAACCCCCTCAATTAACTGTGGTTCTTTACATTATAGGTAACGTCATGCAAAACAATATCCTAATTTTGCCACCTGCTAAAAAGTCTCTCTTAAATGAAATATTGAGTATTCTGCTGAGCCTATTCTCTGCATGTAGCTAAGAGGAGCTCTAGAAGATGATGGACGAGATCTTCTCAAACTTCCAAATTAAATTAATAATATTAATCTTATTGATTGGTATCATTTCAAGATTACATTCACAGCAATGCTCAAGAACTTGGGATTATGAAATAATCGAAAGCGGTTGGTATATCACATTTTTAGAACAAAGTCTGGAAGTTCGCATGTTTATATAAAGCATAAAATTGCACCTGCCGGCTCAGTACATATTGCTATATAATTTGTTATAAAACTACATCATAGATTGTTGAAAACTGACAAATGAATTATACGTAGATGGTTTGTTACGAGAACAAAGGTTATATTCTATAACAATATTAATGCAGTCACTCGTCACACTGTTTTTTTTTGCCGTTATGTTTATTTTTGGCCGTTCGACAGCCAACAGATGGGGTTAAACGCTGTTTGCCGGGAAACACTCTTAAACGCTATTATCAGTTTATTGTTGCTGGTTTTATATAATTGTGCTGTTGTTTTCAACTTTTTTGTCGCAAAATATTTTGGGATATTAGAATGATTTCGATTTAATTATATATATCACCAAAAATCCGTTCTCACTTTTTTACTAAGAATATTTCAATTTCTGTTAAAAGTATGGCAAATGATGCATTTTAACAGGCGTCCTAATGATGCATGATGTTATCCGTCGTCACGATTCTGTCTGAGGTGTAAAAAATTAATGATCTTTGGAAACGTAGCTTCCGAAATTTAACACAGTTCTGCTTTCAAAACAACCATTGTCTTTATTTTATAACTTCCTCTGCAATACACAGCCCGATAAATGGCTGGGGGCACATCTATATTTTTGTTTTCTACATTTTTATTTGTTTGAAATCGATTGTTTTTTACGGTGAAGTGAACATATAAATTATGAATAATTTATGAAAGTCTTCACACTTATAGCTGTTGGCTATGCCACGGTTTCACATAATTTTTTTGTCTAGTTTTGCTAACATTTTACATTTCTCTGAGGCCTTTGAGTCTCTGATTATCCCATGGACCATAGAGCACTTGTGATCACTTTTACAAAGCCTTTTAAAACGGAATGTGCGTCCGGAATGTGCATGTTCGCCTTAACGGCTGGTCTTTCCCGTAACAATCCATTTTTATGGATTTTTTAAAACGAATTTCGTACTAGTTTATGATTTGAACGCTTGTTTGGCGAAAAAAGTTGTTATATTTGAATAATTATATCTTTTGAGACTTTTATATCTTTTATTAAGATATATATAACTTTCAATGCAGGGTTCGCGCCCATGTTATAAACTGTAGTCCCAGTCTCAAAGATAATTTTAAGTGAAGAGAACATTGAATAAAATTGTAAGTAATCTTGAAAATCTAGGGGGCAGACAAGATTTACGGCCGTAGAGCCAAATGTATTATATATCATATAGCGACTTTCACATGTCACTATAAAGCGCCCTGTCCAAAATAAGGCTAACTCAGGTATAAAACCGTAATTGTTTAAATTCTTCAGGTGGCCCGCCGTTGCCTGATAAAGAAGTAATTTCAAGCCACAACGTCCAACCCGCTGTTCAACTGAACTGCAATTTTCTCTGTTATGAAGACCGAAGATGTGTTGGATTTAACTTCCAGACAAAAAACAAAGACGTCATAAACTGTCAACTGACCAACACCACTGTAAGAAGCAACAACGTAGGATCTGGTGATTGGACTTTGTTTCACAAAGTTCGTGTGGTAGGTTAATTGAGATCATTTAAAACTAGAATCGTTTCAGCCATATACGCGTTCATACAGCGGGTAGAGTTTCTGTAGATTTGTGGTATTAATTCTCTGTAATGGAAAAATTGGAGGAAAGATTACTCCAAACAGCGCTTAAACCCACTGAAAATGATATCATTCGATAAAATTCGGATTTTAAATTTTCTGGACGTTTAAGTGTGCTCCAAAGTCAAAATATGTGATACTTTATACTTATTACCGTATGTACATTACTGACTGATCAGTCTGATCTATCATTAAGCTCGGTCCACACCACAACGAGAAATTCTGTTCGTTGTAGAAAACTTGGAAAGTCATGGAATTTCAGGATTTGAAATTCCAAGCCTGGAAAATTTGAAAAATAAGTTTTGGTCATAACTCTTCCATAACACTTTCCCAATTATTCCCAATTTTTTCCCAATTATTGTGGGTGTGCATGCGCGGCTAACCAAACTGCGCATGCGCAGCTAACTATTATGTATAGTTGAAAAGTGACTGTGGGTTCGTGGATTTTTCGGTCCATCTTCGGCCAGACATCTTTCGGACGTACGAAAGATGACGACATTCTGACTCGCGCGTTTGTCGTCACTTTGCAAATAAGGTATTTGCAAATATTTCTTCGTTCGAAAGTTTTGGAGAATTTTTGAGGCCAAGGTAAGATATTTTTGCGATATTTGTTTATTTCAACGGTTCAATTGTCCATAGTCCATGGTCGAACGTTAACGAACGGATTTACACGAGCGAATAGATCTTTCTTACGAAACAAGGCTTTAAAGTCTGTTATTGAGTTTAGGCTTCTGAATTTTAGACAATTCTGAACAGTATACCAAATTTTAATGAGGGGAAACAGTTTGTATGGTATTATCAGGCAGTAAATAAAAGTTATTACAGCGGTTCTATGGTGCGATTTACCCCGGCTAGGCGAGATAAAACTGCATATAATGAAAGACTAATCAGGGTAATTCTCGTGGCTTAAAAAGGGTCTTAATTTCGAGTAGTATTATACACACTTCAAATTCAAGCCAGGAACAGTTGATGGAAAAATGAGTCAACTATAGGTCCTCCGGCAGGAATCGAACCTACGCTTTTGCGATGCCAGTGCACTGCTCTGAGCTACAGAGGTAGCTGACAAGAGCAAGCGTGGTTAATGTGTATAGATAAATGGTATTGCCGGGAATAGGTGAGGGTAAATCAATAATGATTTTTGGCAAGTCTTTGATGTGATGCGCTTCTTACCGCCTCGCCTGGCCCGGATAACTCGCGCCATGTAAACAGGTCCTTAGACTATACAATTAATTAATAGTATATACAAGCATTACAAGTTCATCTTCACAGAAACGAAGGCAAAAGGAGCCAATCAAAAGCCATTTTCTAATAATTATTCCTTTTCTTCAAGGGTTACGGACGCGACTGCAGTGAGCTTTACCGTATATATGGAGAAAGAACAGACGGTGTTTATGAAATAGATCCGGGCAAGACAGGAAGTTTCAAAGTTTTTTGTGATATGACAACGTCCGGTGGAGGATGGACAGTGATTCAACGTCGTCTCACTGGAAGCGTTGATTTTTATCGAGGATGGCAAGATTACAAAAACGGCTTCGGCGATGTCAACGGAGAATACTGGCTTGGTCTTGACAGAATACATCGGATGACAACTGCTTTACAAAATGAACTTCGTATCGACATGGAAGATACTTCTGGGAACACAAAGTACGCACAGTATAATACCTTTGCTGTCGGTAGCGAACAACAAAAGTATATTTTAAGCATTGGAGGATACGCCGGTAAGACTTAAGGCCCTGTTACACGGTGCAAGTTTTCTTGCAACTTGCAATGCAATTCTACTTTTGAGAGATGTAAATTTGGCAACTACGAAACTTTTATATTTATTACACTCCATGTACGTGTCTTACACTTACTTTTGAATACTCAAATCCTTATTTACATCTCTTAAAAGTAGGATTGCATTTCAAGTTGCAAGTAAAATTGCACCGTGTGATATGGCCAAGTAGACCCTCGCACAACAGCTGTCTTCTATACGACGACATGAAACGATTAGGAATACCCCTAAAAAATGTAACGATGTTACACTCCACGGAGATTTATCAACTTATTTTTCATAAGACTCTTTCCTAAATTACATCCCTTAAAAGTAGGATCGCATTGCAAGTTGCAAATAGGGGCGCAGCTATTTTAACTGGGGGGGGGGCGTGCAAGCCCAGGTTTCACTAGCAACTTGAGGAAAATACACGCGGATAAAGGAAACTTTCTGTCCGTTAGAAATTCTAATTCACAGTTGGGCAAAAACCAAAAATGTTTCCGCATAAAAATAATACAAGCGTGTGAAGTGATATGAAATGAAGATAATTATTATTCAGTTTTGCTGTTGATCTGGTTTCTGATTGTTTGATTTTTACTCTCAGACCAGCTGTCAATGGTAATCGTCCCCACTGAATACTGGAAATGTCAATAAAGTTTTATACTATTTAACACAAATTTCAGACACATTAGACAAAAATATTTATGAAACAACTACTACACCGCTGTTACTACACAGTCTGTCCTCATTCCACAGTTTATCCAAGCTCCATACATCCAAATATAAATCACGTGTTACTAGATACTCCTTCATTTGCCTTCTAGGGACTGTACAATGTTGTGGGTCTGGTAGCAAACATACATCTTTAACCACAATGTCGCGAGAGGGTTTGTCCTTTCCCTTTCCTTTCTTATTGTTTGTCGAATATGATACAAAAGGTCCACTTCAACTTCTCGGGGGTGGCCATCAGACACTCACTCCTGAACCTCGAGGAATTTGAAATCTCTGGTTAATCTCTAGTTCCGCTGAAATTGAATGCTCTTGATCTCCGGATATTGAATTTACAGCTGAATTGTTGACCCCATTCGTACTTGTCTGGCCAGGTCGGGTGATATTCGTTTGTTGTGTATTCGGCAGATTTTGCATAGATGAAATAACCCGCCTTACGATATCTGTGATCTGATTTTGAACCTCTTCCATCGAATATTTGCTTAAAGTTACTGTGAAGTTTTTTTGAAAAAGGACGAACGGCAACGTTTCCCCCGAGGCAACGTTTCTTTCTGCCAACATTCTGCTGCAAACCTTTTACTTCCGTTTCCTGACTTCCTGTGTTAAATTCCTCACTTCCGTTCCCTTTCGATCTATATTTTTGACATTTCGATTTATATTAATGTTTGATATTACTTTCTGACTTGATATAATTTTGACCGGAACGGAACGCCATACCGATCTATCTACTTAAACATGCAGTCGCTATTTTACTTAAACTGAACGGAGTCAAAACTTTTAGTTCAAAAGTTTTACTCCAATGGTTTTTATAGTCAACCATGAAAATTTTATCGAGTTAGCTTTATTATTTTTTTTAATTCAATATACAGAACAATACAATAGAACAATGAAACTATAGAATAAGCCAATCGACCCCGTTAGTTTGCTCGGGATAAAAGCCTAATTAATAAAACTTTTTGCTTAATTCTCGCGTTCTTTGTATTTTGTGGAGAAAAATATTCAGGGTCGCTTAGGCATACATTTAAGTTTATACAACAGAATAAATCATGATTTTTTTTAGTAGACCGCCTTAAAATTCTTAAATGTCATTAAAATTCTTACAAGTCATAGACCGTTTTGGAAAATTTATGCTGCATGGAAATAAGTGTTTTTTGTTACTAATTCGTCTTTATATGCTTTAGGTACAGCAGGAGATTCTTTGTCACCACATAAAGGAATGGCGTTCACGACCAAGAATCGCGACAATGATGCAGATGTGAACAACTGCGCTGTGGTATTCAAAGGTGCTTGGTGGTATAGCAGTTGTCACAGTTCCAACCTGAATGGCAAGTATCTTTATGGCAAACACAGTTCGTATGCTAATGGCATCAACTGGTTGGCATGGAAAGGGTATTATTATTCACTGAAATCAACATCAATGAAAATCAGACCACGTGCACCTTGACACTCATAACTCAAAAACGGAACTCCATGCAATGTATATGATAATAATTATTACAAAGTTTAGTTAATTTTCTTTCAGTGTCACGATAGTTAACTTCTGACTTATTATCAAACAGATATATTACTTTGTCTCACGCATGTCTCCCTTTGAAAATATCGAAAAATATCGAAAACAATTTTACTCAGTAATTGACGGTTTTATTTCGCATCATAAGAGGGACCTTGCGACCGGGGAATTCCTCAAGCAAATCCGATGTTATGTAACCAGCCTACTGCAAAGGGCCATTTGTAGAATATCGTGAAAACGAGGTGGATAAATAATTTATATATTCTAGATATTAATGACTATATGTGTCATTACATGTGTTAGCATAAATTGTATAACCTGAATACGAAAATTTTCCGTTTCTTAAGTTATCGTATTTATTGGTGCTATATTATAACAGTACTAGAAATACATGCATGCAGCAACCCCTCGCCTCGGTTAAACGAATTAAGCATAGGGATGGTAACATGATAGTTAGAAAATTTATGTGGGTTGGGGGTTTGGAGGGTACTTGGTAATGTAAGAAAAGAAGTATGGGAATATTTTGCGTCGAAACACTGTAGTCATAGCCACTCGCAACGACTGTATATTTTTAAAGAATCAAAGTCTACCCGCATATTTTTGTTAAAAAATGGCAAAAATACGACAAGATTCTTACTTTTTTCTAGAAGTTCATATTTAGTCCGTATTCATGAAAATATAGTCCCCGAGCCGGTGCGAAGCACCGGGCGAGGGTACTAATTCCGCCCGGAGATTTTAATTACGCCCGGGAATGCAAATGCGAAATGAAAGTTGTCCGCCATTATGTCATGGACGTTGGGCGTTTTTGTAAGTTATGCGCATGCGTGAGTATAAGACGAGTTAAAACTTGTAACTAGCAAACGTTTACAAACGTGCGATTGGCTAAATTAAAATTTGGGTCACGTCAGCATAACTGATATTTTGAATCATAAACCTTTTTTAAATAATATTTTTCATTTGGATGGTCTTAAAAATATACGAAAAATTGACTCGTAAAATTGATTAAAATATAATGTAAAAGATACCTTTGGATAGAAAAATTTTCATTCTAATGGATGGTGAAATATCTACGATTTTGAAGCATTTTTAAAGTGTTTTTGAACAGGTAAATGGGTAGATTTCGGTATTTTAAAGTATACTATTGTTTTGTAAGTTTAATATGTGGATTTATCAACAAATGTATGACCCCTCTTTGAATTTATTCGTCAATATATCGTTGAAATGATTTGGATTTGAAAAGTATTTATTTTTAAAGGTGAATTTGTTTAAAAAGTAATTGAAATTTCGCTAAGAATTGTAGTATTTAAAACTATTCGTAGCACAATTATGATTATAGTCGAATTTGATAGCTCGAGAGTCGACTTTATAATTCTACCAAGATATAGGATTTTACTTTACGACTTCGATCATTCAGCAGAAACGAGTATCATAGAATTTCAGTGATGGAAATATTGTTTATAGCTTTAAATATTGTTTATTGTTTAAAGTTTATTGCGTCAGGCGAGGGGACTTTGCATGCAATGTATTTCTAGTTTTATAAATTTCCATCAAAATTTTGCAATATATATATAACTTATATTCTCTGTAGTTGACGATACCGTTACTGTTGGAAGACTTTGGGCTAGGGTTTGCACAAGGAGAACTTTATTTATTGTTATGTTGTGGGGATTAAAAATAAAGCTTCTCTTTCGCATGCTGTTTTGCATTGCTCATGGTCTTTGCTTTAAAATCTCACGTGACTTCGTAGTGACGTAGACAAATGATGAAGTAGAATTAGAAAATTAAACGAGACATACCGTCTGATTGAAAGTTTGATTGAAATTCTACGAGCCTTTGGTCAGGAACGAAGAAGTCACAGCCCACCATATGTATATATTTATAAAATATACATATATTTTGGTATACCTTGGCCGCTATCTCATGTGACTTCTTCGTTTCTGACCAATGGCTCGTAGAATTTCACTCAAACTTCAACTTACGGTAAGTCTCGTTTAATTTTCTAACTAGAAATACATGCATGCAGCAACCCCTCGCCATTTCAAACGAAGCAAAATATTTCCTGAGCTTGCCAGACCTAACCTTCAATATTATGAAATGTCCTAAATGTAAAGCCGATAGCTGATGTTTTAAATATTTCGGAAACAAACACAGTCGTAAAGGTGAAGTGAAATCACCCGTTTTCCTGCTGCTTTCCGTTGCATTAAGTTATAGACTTTCACAGTTTAAGTGAGAGTTAATACTTCATTATAGCTAAACCTTCAAAACATCAAAACAGCCAAAATAATATAAATAACCAAGCAGTGAACGTCGAATGTTGTTTTTCGATTATTAAATTCATGCAGTGATTGCAGTCGACTATATATAAACCTTTAAAGTGATATTTGTTATATTAAAACTCCGAATTACACTTTTAAGGACTCTCTTGGAGGTTAAAACGATGATGTAAAGCCTTAAATAGTCGGTCACGTCTTCGCAAAACTGAGCAAAACGACATACTGTACAAGGTCATAAAATGTATTCGTACAGCAAACACGAAATAAACCTCGAAATAAACAAAATAGACTCCTACCATTTCAAGGATTATAATCGAGTTGTTCCTTTTCACCGCTAATTCCTCCAGTTCTGATAATATTTTAAACTCTTCCAGTGTTTTATCTGTTATTTGATTCCACATTTCATATTTTGTTTTCGAAACATTTTTTTTAAAAAATAGTTTGGCAGTTTGCAAAATGACAGTTAAATTGCTGACGTTTTTCACTGAAACACAAACGTTTCGTCTTAGCCAATCAGGAAGTTGCTGATTACCAGTCTACACTCGTTCGCATTTCGCGCATGCGCACAAGTACCATGACCATTGAACGTCCATGACATTTGGGCAACTTTGGATTCCGCTATGTTCTCCCGGGTCCCGGGTGTAATTCCTAATCTCCGGGCGGAATTAGTACCCTCGCACGGTGCTCCGCACCGGCTCGGGGATTAAATTTGGTAGCCCAATAATGCATTAATGATCCATATAAGTTGACCAGTAACGCTTCAAATCTGAGGAAACTGGATCCAGTGGGCATGGTCAGTTTAAAAAAAGGGTACAAGCCTGATTCTGCTCATACTATTCTCGCACTCCGGAACGAAGTCTGTGTTATTACCAACGTGTTGCTGATGTTTTCGGGAATATTATCTGATTCAATGGCTACATCATCACCAGGTAGTTCGATTCCATGATCATCTAGTGAAAGTTTTTGGATTGTTGGCTTACTTGGCTAAAGACCCTTGCAAGCAGCATCCTTGTCATTTATTAACTTTCTTGCGCCACCACTCAAAGACTGTCCGGGCGACGATTAAAGGTTAAAATTAAATGGGGTATGGGCACATATTTGCATGAAGGTTCATGACTTGATTCGATGACTTCATTAGCAACCTGTAGTTTCACTAGTTTGACTTAAAAGGGACGCTTCACATTCTCATTAGCAACTTGTAATTTACTTAAAAGGGACGTCTCATATTTTCATTAGCAACCTGTAGTTTGACTTAAAAGGGACGCTTCACATTTTCATTAGCAACCTGTAATTTACTTAAAAGGGACGTCTCACATTTTCATTGGTGACCTGTAGTTTGACTTAAAAGGGACGTTTCACATTAAGAGCGTTCGATTATTTACTTTGATATTTTTTGAACTTTTTTCTTGTTCCTTTGCATTTTTCAATATTTTCGTTCAAAATACTGCCAATTTTTTCAAGTTACTGTCCTCAGTCTTTGTTCACAGTCTATATTATAGCAGAAGTCAATAATTTTGTGGTTACTTTATCTTGTGTATAGATACTGCGCAAAATTCACGCGTTAAAACTACCTCTTTATACAACCGGTCCAAGCTGAAAGAAATAATATCACATGTATATTATTAGAAAATATATTTTTATTGATTTGGGGATTGATATTGGACAGACGAGAAATTAGAAGATTTCGTTTAAATCCTTTCCTTCCTCAAATTTCAAACGTTACAAACAACATTCATGCAGAAGAAAAGATTTAACCGACATAAATGCGGGCTGGCGCTAAATCTATAGAATTTAGAGCATGTCCAGAACCTTGCCCTTTATTGATAAGGCTTAGCAGTCATTGTATTATATTCGTCCTATGCATTATAGGTAACGTTATGCAAAACAATATCCAAATCTTACCACCTGCTATAAGTCTCTCTTAAATTATATTGATTGAGCATGTTCTCCGCATGAGCTTAGCTCTGCATGTATTCTCTTCAAGAGCTCTATTAGATGATGGACGAAATCTTCTCAAACTTCCACGTTAAATTAATCTTATTGATTAGTATTATTTCAAGATTACATTCACAGCAATGTTCAAGAACTTGGAATTATGAAATTATCGACAGCGGTTGGTATATCACATTTTAGAACAAAGACTTCAAGTTCGCATGTATAGATATCGGCTCAGTAGATATTGCTATATATAATCTATTTTGGACCCTAGACCTGAAATCTTCACAGCATTTAAATAGCTATATCAAATCCAGTGTAATTTTAACGATCAAGGCCTATATATTTGGTCTTTCATGCACGATTAACCGTGATGATATGCAGCCAGGGCTCGCGGCTGAAAGCTAGGTTAGGATGACAAAACAAATTATATGGTGAAGATCACAAGAATTTCTGCCTATTAGGCTATTTAACAACAGCATGCAAAACTGTAAACATATGATATAGCTATATATGATGCACCTTTTACTTGTCGTTTTCACATCCCATGCTGCAGAGTGAAACTCTATTTATGTATTGTGTGTATTATACTTTACATAGATCCCAAAATTTAAAAAAAGATTCGAAAATAAGACATTTCCACTAAATTGGAAGTGATAATTTAGGGGGAAAAATAAAATTTTACAGTGACAGTTTAACAGATATTTGAGCAATTTTATATCTTTTCTTTTTCGTGTATTATAAATTTGCTATTTTCGTATAATTATTAATATTATTGAAAATTCTCTGATGATGGAACAGGCTTAAGGCCCGAAAGTTTAGAATAATTAAAAAATTTACATAGTGAACATAAGAAATAATTCTGTCTATTAAATTTTGCAACACTGTTATCATGCAGTTTATTGTTGCTGTTGTTTTCAACTGTTTGTCGGAAAATACTGTATTGACATGTTACAATGATTTCGATTTAATTATATCCCTTTTTAAGGTAACTTTGTTTACTAAGAATATTTGTGTTAAAAGCATGACAAATAATTCATTTTAGCAGGTGTCCTAACAGTATTACTCGTCGTCACGATTCTTAAGTTGTAAAAAAATGATCCTTGGAAACGTAGTTCCCGAAATTTAACTTAATTCTGCTTTCTGAACAACATTGTCTTTATTTTGAAACTTCCTCTGCAATATAGACAACCTGATAGGTGGCAGGAGGCACCTATATGGCAAGAGGCATATTTTTTGTTTATTACATTTTTAATTTCTTTTGAAATCGATTTTTTTTACGGTTAGCGACATAAATTATGAATAATTCATGAAAGGCTTTTTGCCGACATTTCTCTGGGGCTTCTTAGTCTCTGATTATCGCATGCACCGTAAAGCACTTATGTGTGATCGTTTTTACAAAGCCTTTTAAATAATGAAGCCTTGCACTCCTGTGGTTGAATTGTTTTTTATCAATTAACACAGCGCTTTTAATTTTCGGAAAGAGCTGGTACGAATGTGCTTATCGGCAAAGTTTGGCAGAGTGTATTTTTTGTCTTTTGTATAAAACCCACACACACGGGACGCGATTCCGCAACTCGACAAAAATCTTTATTTTTTTAAAGCATTTTAACCTTCTGTCTGCATGACAGTAATTGTCAAGAGTATCATAACTCGAAAACTGTGTGCCGGACGGCACTGCTGGTTTTTTCTCAACAATCGATTTTTTCGACAATCTCAACAATCGATTAAATCGATTTTACATTTTATCATTTGAACGCTTGTTTGGCACAAAAACTTATATTCTAAAGAAATTATTTTTGAATAATTCTTTTTCTTTAGACTTTGCAGAATTTGCACATGTTATCAGCTAGTTCCAGGCTGCATGGAAATCAGCTAGATAAGTCAGATTGATTTATTTATAATTGAAATTGAACATTTGAAGATATAGGCTTATATAAGCGATGGAAAGTCGCACATTTTCACAGATTAAATCTTAATTGTCTCTTTAACGCTACGATTTCGCTGCTTAGGAGTAAACAAATGCTGCAGTTTCATTATCGCGTTTCTGAATCTTATCTTTGCCATTCAGTAAAAGTAAGTGCTCGGTTCTTAAGCATTGTTTTGAAGCAACTGTGAGATGTAAACTAATTATTTATACATTTGCTTTTTTAAACCTGTCAAAATACGCCTTTTTTAAACTTCGCCGAACGCAAGGGCAAGGGTTTGTAAAAATGTAGTCCTATTCTAAAATGGATCATTACGCCAAGATAGGTCCTGGTCCTAATTCGATGAGAAACAAATAAAATTTTTCTAAATTGTACACTTCTGCCAATACGAACTGTGTTTTATATATATATATTTTTTACTCTATATATGCGATAAGTACTTGCGATAACTAAAAAGCAGTTAAACGTACACCCTCTTGCATTATTTTCTTACTAAAATTTGTTAAAGTCGCGGTACAAAATGTTATATAAAATATGTGATACTTGTTTATAAAAGAAACGCGCAGTGTTGAAACAAATGGGAGCCAATTGGGGTTCAAAGAAATGTTTTAAAAGGGCCACCCCTTATTATAAGTGAAGCGAACGTCGAATAAATCTATACAAACTACTTACATAACATTGAAAATCTAGCGGCAAACAAGAAAATGTAGGAGCGAGAGGGGGAAGATAAAACACATATCGATCAGGGCTCATTAGGCGCGTGTTTATCATCTCAATATAAAGCGCCCTGTCCAAAATAAGGCTAACTCTGGTATAAAACCGTAATTGTTTAAGGTGGCCCGCCGTTACCTGATAAAGAAGTAATTTCAAGCCACAACGTCCAACCCGCTGTTCAACTGAACTGCAATTTTCTCTGTTATGAAGACCGAAGATGTGTTGGATTTAACTTCCAGACAAAAAAGAAAGACGTCATAAACTGTCAACTGACCAACACCACTGTAAGAAGCAGCAACGTAGGATCTGGTGATTGGACTTTGTTTCACAATGTTCGTGTGGTAGGTTAATTGACATCATTTGAAACTAGAATCGTTTCACATTAGTGGTTACTAGAAATTTGGAACATCATTTGTACAGTCATTTATGAAAACAGGCCATATACGTGTGCATACAGCGGTTCATCTTCAAAGAGGTGAAGGCGAAAGGAGCCAGTCAAAAGGCATTTTCTAATATGATACTAATAAATATTCCTTTTCTTCAAGGTTTATGGACGCGACTGCAGTGAACTTTACCGTATAAATGGAGAAAGAACAGACGGTGTTTATGAAATAGATCCGGACAGGACGGGAAGTTTCAAAGTTTTTTGTGATATGACAACGTCCGGTGGAGGATGGACAGTGATTCAACGTCGTCTCAATGGAAGCGTTGATTTTTATCGAGGATGGCAAGATTACAAAAACGGCTTTGGCGATGTCAACAGAGAATACTGGCTTGGTCTTGACAGAATACATCGGATGACAACTGCCTTACAAAATGAACTTCGTATCGACATGGAAGATACTTCTGGAAACACCAAGTACGCACAGTATGAAACCTTTGCTGTCGGTAGCGAACAACAAAAGTATATTTTAAGCATTGGAGGATACGCCGGTAAGACTTACACCCTCGAAGAACATCATGTGAAATCATGACGTCATGCTGCGCATCGATAAAAATAATTGGGTTATCGTGCGCCTGGAGTCGTTTGTCCCGTTCTACCAACTAAGGACTGGTTTCCAGTCAGAAAAATTAACCTTTGGACCAGATCAGTATGGAAGAGAGCAGTATGGTTTCTTTTGCCCTTAAGACTACTAGTTTTGGCTGCGAACATGCGGATAAAATAAATTTTTTCTCCGATATACGGTCGGAGAATAATTTTCCGGACTGGAAACCAGCCTTAAAAAGGAAAGGCAAAAATATTTACGCATGAAAATATAATACAATTTTCCGTTGCCGAAGTGATACGACATGAAAGAAGTTATAATTCAGTTTTGTCGATTGGTTGATTTTTATACTCAGATTAGCCGCCATGCAGAGGTAAATGAGGTTGACAAATGTTTCGTAGTTGCCAAATTTTTACGTCTCTCAAAACTAAATTTTTCTTTAAGTTGCATGGAAATTTGCAGTGTATAGCAAGGCTTTACTTCATATAATCGTTCCCACTGAGTTTTGAAGCGAATTTTTTAAATTCAAAAAGGATTTAGGCCCTGTCCACACGTAGCCGGGTTTTTTAAAAAACGGAGATTTTTTCCTCCGTTTTCAAAAAAATTCGCGTCCACACGTAGCGTATTCGAATCGTTTTTGCCCGTCCACACGTAAACGCGAAAACGAAGGAAATATGATAGCATAATGATAATGCCCAGCGTCGAGCATGCGCATTGCCTAGCAGAATTAATTCTTCCAAACAATCGCAGGCTCAAAATGCAATAACCTTGGTAGTAACAGCTATGTTAATTAGGGCATTTGGTAAAACTACTTCGTATTTACTTTGAATTCGCTTCGTACTCGCTCTTTCTCGAAATAAAATATCAATAAAATGGCTAAATCTACAAAAGGAGCAACGAAATCTAAGGGAAAATCCAAACCTGACTCATTCGTCCTGTGAAGCGATATGGGGAGGATCTCCTGCTACATCAACTATAGGTGCTGGAATTGAGTCGACTGACATAATGTCTGAACTCGAGACAATAAGCTCCAGTTCAACAATGTTCAAGGATCAAATTTACAATAATTATTTAAAAGTTCTAATGTAAAATGACCTGGGTTTTTAAACAGACTGCCTCAAGGGTCAAAGTATCTGGTGAGGATTCTCCTTATTTTCTTCCCTTCACTCTCATTACAATCAGTAGTGAAGTGGTCTAGATGGCTTCTTATTTAATCGTTTTAGAACGATTTTTTGTGAGGATGAGACGGAAAGCATCTTCATCAAATTCATACGCTTTCTCAAATATTCTCCGTGAACGTTTAACATTGTAACATGCAGCTGAATGCATGCAATTATACTTGAAATAAGCCCAAGTAAAACAGCAATAACATTTTGGTTCGCCATCTTGGATATATTCAAAACACGCGCCTTATCGAATATCGACTGGGCCCGACTAACAACGTCATCGTATTCGAAAACCTCCGTTTTCGCCCGTCCACACGTAAACATGAAAACGGCGTTTTCGAAAAACTCCACTCTGGAGAGCGTTTTTAAAAACCTCCGTTTTCGGTTACCGAAAACGTGGTTACGTGTGGACGCAAGGCCAAAACGGATAAAAAAACCTCCGTTTTTAAAAATATCCGGATACGTGTGGACGGGGCCTTAATACTATATATGCACATCGTGTTCAATGCTGCACAAGATGCAATCTTGTCAATTGAACATTCTAACAAGTCATAGACCGCTTGAGAAAATTTGTATTGGAAATAAGAATTCATAATTCATACTTTGCTTTAGGTACAGCAGGAGATTCTTTGTCACAACATAAAGGAATGGCGTTCACGACCAAGAATCGTGACAATGATGCATATGTGAACAACTGCGCTGTGATATACAAAGGTGCTTGGTGGTATAACCATTGTCACAGTTCCAACCTGAATGGCAGGTATCTTTTTGGCAAACACAGTTCGCATGCTGATGGCATCAACTGGTTCACATGGAAAGGGCATTATTTCTCACTGAAATCGACATCAATGAAAATCAGACCACTTTGGCACTCATAACGGAAAAACGGAACTCCATGCAATATATGATAATAATTATTACTAAGTTTAGTTAATCTTCTTTCAGTGTCACGATAGTTAACTCCTGACTTATTATCAAACAGATATATCATTTTGTCTAACCCATGTGACCCGTTGGAAATATCGATTAAAAATATATACTCATGTATCCTAAGTTAATTAGTATCAACAATTTTACTCAGTAATTCACGGTTTTATTTCGCCCCATAAGAGGGACCTTGGGACCGGGGGATTCCCGTAGCAAGTTCCGGTGTTATGTAACCACCAGCCTACCACTAAAGGGCCATTGCCGAATATATTCCAATATATCGGGGCTAATAAATGACTTGTATGTTCTGGATACTTATTGACTATAAACCTGCATGTGTTAGCATAATTAATTTCATAATCTAAATACGAAAATGTCTCGTTTTTTGAGTTATCATATGTATTGGTGCTATATTATAACAATATAATTATTAGGTATTAAACGCTACACATGCAGGAAATGTCGAAGCATTAAAAGCTAACTCACTAGGGATTTGTTTGATCGCGTTTTCACTATAACTATTACGTAGGACATGACAGGACGCATCTTATCGCTACCTCCAATTGTCGTATACTAATATTATTGGGTGCGTTTTTGATAGAAGGCTGTGAGAACAAGACCACGTATTGATTATTGATCATTAATCAATTAATTATTGATCATTATTCTGCAGCCCGTGTCACGATAACAAGTGACCAATGTAGCAACGTCACACCCAAAGCGATTTTGAAATAAATGGAAAGTCATCAGTTCGGGTTTGCATATATGCTATGGTACAAAATATATACCTTACGAATATACAAAATTTATAAATTCAATGGTTACATCATCTTCAAGTAGTTCGATTCCATGATCTCAAAAGCTCTTGCAAGCAGTTTTCTTGTCATTTACATTAACTTTCTTGCGGCACAACTCAAAGGCTGCCCGGACGACGATTAAAAGTTGAAAAAAAGGGGGGGGGAGACACATATATTTGCCTGACAATCGTCATGCAGGTTCAAACTAAATTGTAGAATGATCTAATTGCTCCATGAAACATATCAGGGACAATTGGATAATGCTTTTCTATGCTTTCTAAAGAACGAAGTTATGCTATTGGTTGAAAAAGAAATGTATTGTAAAGTTCAACCAATGAAAATCATTCTTGCGATGAGCTTCAACCCTACCCACAAATCAATGCGCATTGATAAAACGTCTTTTCGCGCACGGTAATCTTACGTGTATTCCCAAACGACTTGATTGGATGATTGTAAAATTGGATGATTGGAATGTTACAACGTTTTCTTTGAGGAATCCCAATGAATTTTTTTTAAAAATGAGGTGAAATGTATTTATTGAGGTGAAATCTATTTCGAGTAAAAGTGAAAGCTTTTCCTAGGTGATGTCGTATGCATGCAAATGACAACATGCTTTGTCGAAACTTTCTGTTTAAAGCATTTTGTCGTCCTGAATAAATTTTGTAAAACACAGCCGTTTCGTTGTGTCCATAAAATAATTTAAACATACGTTCATAGGTTTGTTAACGTTCACATAAATAAAACATATTTAAAATACACTATACAGCGTGTATAAAACGGAGAGGAGAAACATTTTTGTGGGTAGCCTGCGCATGCGCGGCTAACCACTATGTAGTCGAAAAAGTGTCCGGATGTTTGTGTGTGGGTGCCACATCTTCGGCAATCGTCGGATGTACGAAAGATGGCGATTGCCAATTGTTCTTCTACTTCCCTTGTTCTTCCCCGTTGTTTTCGAGGAACGGAAGCAACCGAAGTCACGTTAATACGTTTGTCAAAACTTAAAGCGAAGGTGATTAGGTCTAGGTAAGTACTTTAAAGGCGAAAAAGCAGTGATCGGTGAGCGTTGAATCTACAACTACAAAGTTACACTGATAGAAAATAAATAAAACATTACTTTATTCGGCAAATTGCAGTAACAAGTTGCCCTGTTTTATAAATTATAATGCAATATTTCACCTGTCAATTTCTTGCTTGTGGACTATTAAACCAAATACATGACCTTATTGCAATGGTAGTAACAAGTTGCCCTGTTTTATGAATTATAATGCAATATTTCCTTTCAATTTCTTGCTTGTGGACATGCACTGAGCTATTAAAGCAAATACATGACCTTATTGCAAATGGTAGTAACAAGTTGCCCTGTCTTATAAATTATAATTCGGCAAATGGTAGCAACAAGTTGCCCTGTTTTATTAATTACAATGCAATATTTCAACTGTCAATTTCTTGCTTGTGGACATGCAGCTATTAAACCAAATACATTACCTTATTGCAAATGGTATTAACAAGTTGCCCTGTCTTATAAATTATAATGCAATATTTCACTTGTCAATTTCTTGCTTGTGGACATGCATGCAGCTATCAAACCAAATGCTTTGGAGTTTAAAACGAAGCTTTTATTTGAACATAACTAACAAAAACATATTTTTTAAAAAAACAAAACTTTTAACACAAGTGCATTTCAACTGAACAAAAATCTTTAAAATATTTTCAGATACATAGATGAATCCTTTAAAATTGTTATGCTGAAATGTTTGAAACAATTTTGGACTCTTTAAGTTAATAATGTTTTAAAAGGCTACCCACATGTACGCATTGCGTACTTATTTTTTATGTTGTGTAGGTCAATTTAGGTAAAATGGTTTTATCGTATTAAATAGCAAAAGCGGAAAGCGATTGTTCAAATTCGGATATTATACACAAAGCATTCCAAAGTTTGCATCTGCCATAAAAAGAAATTCGAACCTAAAATTGCAGCGAAACTCGCCCGTGTGAACTGTGTATCAATTCAAACTAAAATCACGATGAACATCACAAAATATATTCTCCTGGGGCCGGTTGTATCAAGCCCGTTTAGCTTAAACGGTGGATAAGTCAAAATTAAATAACACTCTTACATCTCTCTTGAGTGAGTCAACTTGAATATTATGCACTGAATATGTAGTTGTAAACAGTATCTTTGTATTAAGGTTAAAAACATTTAGTTTGCTTCTTGAATAAAACGATAGACTTGCTTTCTATTTTGAACTTAACCACCGTTTAGGCTAAACGGGCTTGATACAACCGGCCACAGGGCGCTTCGCTAAACAATACCATATTAATGCAATAAAACTTAACGCAAATACAAAGCTGCATCAGAGTAATCGCATGAATAAACACGATTGGTATAAAACACCGGGAAAACAGCAAATTTTCACATTTTGCCACGAAGACGACCTGGCTGCATATACAGGAAGGAATTTTCGTCCCGTCCACCTCCCCTCGGCTGCGACACCGTCTCCTCGCCGCCCTTTACTCTTAGCTGAAAATCATTTTGTTCCCATTATTAGTTTATTTTCAGCCATGGTATTGTGCAGTGGGGCGAACGGCGAGAATATATTCAAAATAAAACCATTGGTAATAAACAACCAATGTAGAATTCATACGGGACGCTCGTTGCAAATTAACATGTTCTACATGGCAGAATTTTAAATTATTGAAATAATTAAACCACAGGTAAGCGCTGGTACTCAAGAAAATACAAGAAACGCATCCCTGTGAACAATACTCAGTTGAATATGAATATAACACGATCTGTAATCAGAGAGAAATATTCCTTCGTTTGCAAACAGTTTGCATGTGCCGCTATATTGTGGACATTGCCAGTTATTGCACGGCAATCTACATTTCAACAAAAACCATCCGCGTAGAGATTGAGGTCAATAGGTTAGTATATTATTTTACCGAGTACAAGGAAAGTTATTTAAATTTAACTGCAGTTCGGGTTCAGTGAGTTTTCCGTAAATAGAGTCACTTTGTACTTGCGGCTAAAGAAATGAATCCAGTCCGGGCTGTGATTGGCTGGCTTATCAATAGTCTGAATTTGAAAGGACAAGTATTTAGTAATCTGTAAAAAGTAGTAATTTGTAATCAGCGATAAAATAAATTCAACCTTTGTCGGTAGTCCGTTCACAACATCTTAAACTCCCTATTGTTGGGATGGCTACACACTAAGGAAATTATGCACAAAGCATTCACAACTGGTTTGTCATAAGACGAAATTCAGAACCAAAATTACAATAAAAATAGCCAGTGCATGCGAAATGTTTTTAAAGCCCCATTCACATTGAGCACAATTTAGGTTTGGTACCGATGAAATTGGTTCCGATAAAAATTGAACCATCTACTTTAGGTAGTTTAAATATCATTAATGTCAATTTTATCTGTACCAAAATTGAAAATTTACATATAAAATTAGTACGAGTGAAATTTTATGCTGTAACTGTAACTATATATTTAGCATTCACAATGGTAATTGCACTGAGTGGAGTGCAATTATTTTGGTGTTCAATCAAACACGTGATTACAAGATCGCACGACCGCGAAGCGGAGTGCGATTTGTTATCACAAGTTCGATCTCACACCAAAATTGCACTCCACTCAGTGCAATTTCCACTTTATTATAATTTTTCATTTTGAAAGGAACAAAAAATTAAACAAGTTCAAAACGATTTATTTGCTGAAAGAAACGCAAACGGTGTAAAATGTAAGTAATTTTTATTTATTTTTGTCAAGAAATTTTGCGAGGCATTTGAAAATTTAGAATAATAAAATTTTGTGCCATTTTCCCCTGTAATTTGATTAGATAGTTGACTCACTCAAATAGTAAATCTGATTGGCTATTGTGGTTCAGAGCTTCAATCTTATTGGCTTATAATTAAATGACGTGAATAATCAGCTATTTATAGTAATAATATTTACTCTATTAATAATTACACTAGTTTTAACCAGTCAGGTTGCGAGAAACACCATTAATTTCAAAATGAATATAATAAAAAAGAGGAATGGAGTAAATTAACTCATCAGAGTGTCAACATAATGGTAGCATCATCATTCATAAGCACATCATTGGCTAGTGCAATATTACTCCCGATTTCAAGGGGGGAGGTATTTTTTTAGAACTCGTGTGAGTAGGGAGAGAGTAAATATGTATATTGTTTTAGTTTTTAATAAAATTTGCTATCCCAATAAAACATTAATGATCTATATAAGTTGACTAGTAACGCTACTGGATCCAGAGGGCATAGTCAGTTGGAAAGGATAAAAGTCTGATTCTAAGATATTCATACTATTTTCGTACTCGGGCACTGAAGCCCGTTTTCCACTAAGCGAATTTATTCGCACAACACGAAGGGATATCTAAAATCCGGTGATGTGATTGGTTTGCGAAAAAATTCGCCGCGAAAAAGTAGAATCGCTTCCTACTTTTTATCTCTTTGCGCAAATAGATTCGCCATGGCCGTAGCTAGACCGCTTCATTGGGGGGGGGGGGGGTGTATATTCATATATTCATGTTTAGATACCGTCAAAACAATAGCGTACCAAAGAAATCAGTCGGGCATAAGACGAAGTGACTATACACCTTCCCAATTACGCTTCTAGCTACGGCCCTGAAATTCGCCAAGTAGAAAACGGGCTTAAGGTGGCTCCCTACAGTTCTATGGTTGTATCGCGGTAATTTTGTCGCGCGCGAAATAGTACACGCAACACGCGTGGCTGATGTTGCATGCAGGGCGGGCTTTTTAAAACTTGTCATTGTGAACTTTTGATAAACACGCGCGGGCCTTCGCGGGATGTCGACTGGTCGCGCGAGGAAATTGAAATCCTGATTTTTGTGACGTCATAAACATAAAAATAAATGTATTTTTTTCGTTTTTCCTTCGGTAAATTCTTTTCAAACTTTACACAGTTTTCTGTAATCTTGAAATGCGTAAAATGTGCAAGTTTTAAGAAAATCGTACGAGCCGAATTTTTTTTAATTAAAAAACAGGATTTTTTGAGGATTTAAAAAAAAGTGCTCGTACGATTTTTTTTAAATGCTAACATTAGAAAGAATTATGGATAAGATTACTGTGTGGAAAAAATTAGAAAGTTTTACCGAAGAAAATTTGAAAAAATTATCTCAGAGTCTGTAAATTGGCCCTTTTTAAAATCGTTATGTTACCATGGCAACGAGGAAATTTTATGAAATTTTATATATTTCGTAATTTGCGATATCATAGCAGTTATGTGGCCAAGTTTCGTGATCATACTTTGTAAGATGATAAAATAAAGGTCTTTCCAACACAATTGCGCATTACACAATCAAAACTGTAGGGAGCCACCTTAAGTCTGTGTTATTACAATTTGTTTCCGCGTGGATCTCGACCACGGTGGTTCCTACCTTCAATAAAGTCAATTTTTTAGCAAACGTGTTGTTTTCGTCATCTCCAAGTAGTTCGATTCCATGATCATCTAGTGAAAGTTTTGGGATTGTTGGCGAAAAACCCTTGCAAGCAGCTTCCTTGTAATTTTTTAACTTTCTTGTGGCACAACTCAAAGACTGTCCGGGTAACGATTAAAGGTTAAAAATAAACGGGGGATGGGGAAACAAATATAATTGCATGACAATCGTCATGCAGGTTCAAACTAAATTGTAGAATGATCTAATTGCTCGATGGAACATATCATTACCCATTTCCTGAAACGTGTTTTCCCGCAGGATACATAATCTTATTCCTAAACGACTTGATTGAATGATGCATGATTGGCCTTGTTACAAAGTTTTCTTTGAGTTTTCTTTTACAAAGATTTCTTTAAGTTTTTTTTTCTCCAATGAATTTTTTAAAAAGATACTTTCAAAAAAGTATAATTATTGCCGTTAATTCTATTGTGCAGATAACAACATGGCTTCTCCTGTGCGGATAACAACATGCTTTCTCGAAACTTTCTGTTTACTTCGTCGTCCTGTCGGTCTAAATAAATTTTGTAAAACTACAGCCGGTTACTGTGTCCATTAAAATAATTAAATCCATGCGTTCATCGTTTGTTAACGTTCACATAAATAATATAAATTTGAAATACACTTCAGCGTGTATAAAACGGAGAGGAGAGACTCTTTAAACCTAAGTTGTATACGAAATGAGTTTACTTGCAAATTGTCATTCATGCATGTTTGCATGTTGCGTAGGTCAATTTAGGGAGAACGTTTTTATCGTATTAAATAGCTAAAACGGAAAACAGATGTTAAAATTAGGATATTATACACAGAGAATTCAAAAGTGTATGAGTTACTAAAATTACGATAAACATGACAAAATAAAACCATTGTTAGTAAACAACCAATATAGAAGTCATACGGGAAGCTTTTGCAAATTAACATGTTCTACATGGCAGGTTTTTAAATTATTGACGGAAATAGCAGCAATAATTAAAACCACAGGTATAAGCGCTGGTGCTCGAGAAAATACAAAAGCAACGCATTCCTGTAAACAATACTCTCTTGGATATGAATATAACACAGTCTGTAATCAGAGAGAAATATTCCTTCGTTGGCAAACAGTTTGCATGTGCCGCTGTATTGCCAGTTATTGCATGGCAATCTACGTTTCAATAAAAACCATCCGCGTAGAGATTGAGGTCAATAGGTTAGCGTATTGTTTTGCCGAGTACAAGGAAAGTTATTTAAATGTAACTACAGTTCGGGTTCAGCGCGTTTTGCGTGGCTGCATGGCGGTATATTATTGATTCAAAACAAGAATTTAATTAAGTCATCATAGGCCGTCGTCTAATGGGCAAAAAGTGTCAGTTTCGTTGCACACCTCTTTAAACTAAAAAAAAACTACGTGTTTCTATAGAATAAAATACGCTGAATTCAAATCCGGAAAGTTCCCGTAGTTTACTGCTGCAGTTTCTTTGCAATTTATGATAAAAATCGTTGAATCTACAGGATTTCGCAATAAGATTCCCAAAAAATGCATCACCCACAAGTCGTAATCGGAGATAGGTTATCTCCGAACGCACTGCTTCATTAACAAAATTTCACTTCCAGCACATTTTGACATATGTGAATTGTCTTGGTTGTAAACAATGCATGAACCATTGCATGAGAAATAATCAAGTATGGAGGAAAATGCAGCCTCATGTATTATTCATTTTGGTGATATTTCAAATGAATTCTTGCGACAATTTACTGCTGTGTCGCTTTCGAAATTTATACATTGCCGGAAACAATGGTTGACGTTAACTGGCGCTCAAAATGAGGTAGCAGTAAACTCTCTAGAGTACTTTACAGACCTCGACGAAGAAAAATTCTCTAGCGATGAAACAATTCCCCAGCGTAGCTTGCAATATCACATCGACTGTTACCGAAGGTTTACAGACAAGACTAAAATTGAGAGAGCACAGCGTTCCGCCAAAGCTTTACCAGGCAAAAGCAAAATCAGCGAACCTGCGGCGAAAAAAACCAAGGTTGACTCAGAAGAATACACAACGACACGAGGTAGACTTTCACGAGCTGCTGCAGCTGGATCTAAATCCACCCATGTCTTACCAAGAGTGTGTTTAATATGCAAGAAAGAAGAACTGACGTACACTTGCCCGGTTAGTGAAACAAATGTTTATTAACATAGGAGTGCACTAAATGAACCATGGTAGATTGCACCCTGATGTGTCCTACTTTAGTATACTCCACCTAATTCCAGATTATTTTACTCATCAAGGGGTGAGCATTAGCACTTAATCAGTTAACTGCTATCTGCCTTTTTGTCTAGTTAACAAATTGATTGGCATTGCACCCTAATGCATCCTACTTTGGTCAATTAATTGTCAAAGAGAGAGCGCTAATACTTAATGGGTTAAAACATCATTCTGTAACTTTTCCAGGTAACCAAGAAAAGAACAATTCAAAAATTGACTCAAAGCCAGACATTTGATGCAGGTAAATTACGACTAGCAGCAAAAAAAAAGATGAGTCCATTTTAATCCACATTAGGGACCGAGACTGTGTGGCAATTGAGGCATGCTACCACAAGAAATGTTATGCTGGGTACACAAATTTTTTAAATTACAAGCAAACTGATGAAAAAGTAGGAAATGTTTATGAGAAATCATACGAGTATTTCTGTGAAGAGGTTGTCAAAAGACGGCTGATAATAAACAAAGAAATCCTTTTCATGCGCGACCTGTTGAAAGCTTTTGTCAAGGCTGTTAATACAAAAGAAGGATTGGATGCCTCAAACTATAGAGCACATCGGTTAAAGGCAAGACTAAAGAAAACATACCCTGAACTGACTTTTCATACACCTGGAAAAAAGAATTCAGTGACTAGTTTTCAGTGAATGTCTGAACAAGGGTGATATTGCAGAAATGAACATAGATGACAGCCATGAGAGTGAAGATAGTCAAGACAGCCAGGAGGAAATTTCAACTGATATGCCAACCACATCCAAGAAGAATGAAGATGAAGAGCAACTCAGAACACTTTTTCATGCTGCGATGATACTTCAAGGCCAAATAAAAGATTGCACCAATTTCTATCAAAGCTGGCCACCAACACCATCTGAGCTCACCACAAAGAATGCTGCAACAATGGTTCCTCCTTCATTGGCACTTTTCCTTTCATGGTTGCTTGGATTTTCATCTGTACCAACTATGGATGAACATTTGAAACTCAAGGAGAAGGATTATTTGAAAATGCTTTCCATTGCACAAGACATTATATATGTAAGCTCAAATGGTAGAAAGCACACACCTAAATCCCTTGCTCTTGGTATGGCAGTTAGACAGATTACAGGATCTTATCAACTCACAAAAATTCTCAATGGATTTGGAAATTCAGTTTCACATCCAACAATCCGGTCATTTGATACAGCTCTAGCTTTACAAGCTAAAAGAAACATAGTGGTCATACCAGAAGGAATTATTCCAAGCAAATTCACGATGATGGTTTGGGATAATATTGATTTCCTTGAGGAGACACCAACTGGTGCTGGAACTACACACATGGCTAATGGTATCATAATTCAGCAGACAAACGACAATGAAGAACCAAACATAAGGCCTAGACCTTAAATCCATCAAAAAGTCTGTGCGATCTTTGAAGACTCCTGAGGAACCACTGCAAACTTTTGTTTTAGGCAAGAGAGAATCACCAAAGTTATTGCAATTTTTACAAGAAGATGAAATCAGCACAAGTTTGGTTGCTTATAAGCCCATACTAAACCAAAGTTTGATGTTGGACTTTATATATGTTATTTGCAAATTCTTTTGTGATGACCTATCTGTGCTACTTCCTGGTTGGACAGGATTTAATACACTGATGAATGAAAAGCCTGCAAGTGTATCAAAAATTGGTTATCTTCCTGTTATAGATGCACCAGTTACTGACTTTGCAACTATTTTTGGCATATTAAGAAGAAGTTTAGACATTGCCAATCAGTTACAGCTTCAATATGCAGTGCTGATTTTTGACGAAGCAGTTTATGCTAAGGTACAACAGGTACGATGGAAATATGAGGAATTTATGTCAAAGTTCATTGTCCGTTTGGGAGAATTCCATTCATGCATGTCATATGCTACAGCAATAGCATGTCGCTTTCGTGATGCTGGCTTGCAGGTTAGTGTGTGATTATGATAATTTTATTACCTTTAAAAACAGGGTTGGGAATTTGGGTGGTGGTTAAGAAATTTGCTCCAGAGAATACAGTGTGTTTAAAAATAAAACTGAAATATACTTTTTCACTCCTTTAAAGGATATATTTATTGAATCTGAAATTGTTGCACAAGGATCTTTAAATGGTGTGTTTAGTGGCAAGCACTATAACCGATGCATTCGTGCCCACAAGTTGGTTTTTGAAGCGATGGAAAGACTTCGTTTTGAAGCTTTTTTAGACAGTCAAACAACTCTTCAAAAGTCTGAAATCATTGGCTTAGTGAAAGAAATAAGTGGCAACTTGAATAAAGAACATTTCGATGCTTATGTAGAAAATGTCACAATACAAGAGATTGGAGAAAGATAAGTTTAAAATCTTTTTTAAAAATATGTTCATGTATTTAGTCTGACTATGTAAAATTCTGAATTCAACATTTTCAAGTAGTGACATAACTTGTTTTGAAAATCAGATGAGCAACATGTGTACCCACCCTTACTGGAAAGCCAGTAACTCATTACAAGCAATTTAATTTATACATTTCAGCAGTTCATCGAAAATGAGAGTCAGAGGAGTGCTACTTTTCAGTTATGGTCATCCTATATCGACATGGTATACCTGCTGTTAACATTTATCAGAGCAACACGCACTTCAGACTGGATGCTCCACTTATCTACAATTAGAGCAATGCTGCCTTGGTATTTTGCATATGATCGCATAAATTATGCAAGATACATGTCTACATACTGGCTGGAGATGATCTGTTTGGATGACACTCATCCAGTAAAGTGATGAAAATAAATATCTTCTGTTCACTTTATATAGGACAGAACACAATTGCACTTAGTAAACAAAATTGCTCCTGCTATTTTTTAAGGTGCATCTGCTGAATTAAGTTCAAAGTGGACTGTTCAACGCCAGCAAAATTATGGATTTTCCGCAATTGCCTGTGATCAAGCAATAGAGCAAACATGCAACAGAGATTCCAAAACTAAAGGTGGAATTGTGGGCTTAACACAAAATAGAGCAGCTATAAACAGGTGGATTCTTGCCCAAGCTGACAGGTCTGCAATAACAAGGAAGTGTGAATTAATGGCAGGAGTTGCAGAAGAACAAAGGTATACTCCTGATGTTATACTATAACAATTGAACAGAGGGTTCCTTACAATTGTACAGAGGGTTCCTTATAGCAAGTACACATACAAAGTTTGATTAAATAAACTTATTAATATGCGTAATTTCTTTAAGAATGCGTAAAGATCTTGATAACACCCATAGCAGTAATCATGAAGAATCTGTTAAGCAAGTTATATCAACAGTGTCATCCATGTCAAACCCATTCAGTCCTGACAGTCCCAAAGAACTGGTCAACATTTGCAGCGGAGTGGTAGCAGATGAAGTAACGACAGCTGATGTGAAAAATGCATACAATAAGGGAGACCAAAAGCTTGAGGATTTCTTACACAATAGATTATTATGTGAGGAACCAGATATCTTTTCAAATATAGGAACAATGAAACTGAAAACATTCAAATCCATGTCAAAATCCAAAAAAGTCAAAACGTCTTCTGGTTCCACGGTTACGGTGAAAAATGATGCACGTTTTTGGGCAAGGCTTTTGGTTATTGCAAAGAATCGAGACATTGATCTTGAAAATGTGTTTACATACTCACTGAGAGCATATCCGCGCGCCTTAGCAACTGATTACGGTGGTCTGGTTAAGACATCAAAGTCTAAACTGCTTCATACTCTGGAGAAAGAGGCTGGAGAGCCATTGATTGAGCAGATTCCACAAAACAGTGCCACAATTATCGATGGTATGGCCTTACTGCAAGCGTTGAAAACCAAAGACATCCCAGAAAATTTTGGGCAACTGGCTGAATTACTACTGAAGAAGATAATTGCTATTGCTGTTTTCAACAAATCTCAACGTGTGGACTTTGTTACAGACAGGTACCCTGAGATCAGTACAAAAAATGTTGAAAGAACAAGCAGAGCTGCGTCTGGTACAAATGTGTTCTCAATACTAAGTGAGCAACAGAGAATACCAAGACAGTGGAAAAAATTCATGAATGTGGGAAGCAATAAGGAGAGACTAATTGACTTTCTTGTAGAGGAGTGGAAAAAGGCTCCTCTTTCCAGGTTGGGATCAGTGGAATTTTTTGTCACCAAACAGGAGAAATGCATTAAAATTCATTCAGCTGGCGATGCTGGTGTTGTTGTTGCTGAAGAGATTTCAGAATTAGAATGCGATCATGAAGAAGCTGATACTAGAATGTTTGTTCATGCCCATCATGCAGCAGAGTCAGTTGACACTGTTGTTATTAAGAGTCCAGACACTGATGTGTTTGTGATTGCTATTGCCAGTCAACCAACCATTGATGCAAAGCTGATATTTGATACAGGAACTGGAAACAATCAAAGACGAATTGACATTAACGAAGTTGCTGCCTATTTTGGTACTCTGTGGTGTAAAGCAATCATTGGCTTTCATATATTTACAGGTAAACATACATTATAGCACTTTTGAAAAGGTTTCTTGAAAGGGTATCATCAGAGAGGTAACAGCTTAAATGTGATCATACTATCATTTTGTCCCTTTTTACTGTTCTAGGCTCTGACTCAACAAGTGCTTTCTTTGGAAAAGGTAAAGTACGAGCATTTAAAGTAGCAAGAAATAGTGTGGAATTTTCAGAGGCATTCGCTACTCTTGGTGAAGACGTGAACATCCCTGAAAATCTTGGTAAAATCTTAGAAAAATATGTTTGCTATCTTTATGGGCAAGATAAAGCCAAATCGATTAATGATGCACGCTATACAATGTTTAAATTTGGTAAATGCACAGAAGAGTCACTCCCACCAAATTCCGACAGCCTCCATCAACATATCCTCAGAGCAAACTTTGAGTCCTATGTCCGCAAGCATGCAACAATTCCAATTTTGGCATCACCCTCACCAGTGGGATATGGTTGGAAACTTGAAGAAGGTGAGTTGCAAATTGTATGGGGAACACAACCTCCTGCACCAGAGAGCATCCTTGAATATGTTGATTGCAAATGCAAGAAAGGGTGCACAACAAACAGATGCTCTTGCCACAAATCTGGTTTAAAATGCACTGAATTGTGCCAGTGTAATGGCTGTGAAAACTATGAATCAGCGGAGGAACTGAGTGAACTTGAAGCACAGTTTCTAGAATATGAGTATGGGGAAGAAGGCGATGATTATGATGATTAGATTCTGGTATAAATTGTATAAAATTAATAAAATAGGTATTACTAGCTGCAAATGTTACAGCAGTTTGAGAGTTTATTTGCCCTGTCTAATATAAATATTCTCTGTAAAACACATTTTACAAAATTTAACAAAACTGATCGTAAGCTGAGTATAGTCAGCGTACTAGTTCATGTGCACAAGTACTATTACATGCACTGTATATTGTTTAGTTTTTACAACAGCGTAGCAGATATATCACACATAAGTGCTGAAACATTTTAATACTGAGCAAAGATGTATTATCATACAACTGTTTGTTTACCTTAAATTTATGTTTTCATTTATACTGTTAGCTGAATCGAACTGAACCATGAACTTGTTTATTTGTCTATAATATCACATATCTCAAAATGTGCTGGAAGTGAAATTTTGTTAATGAAGCAGTGCGTTCGGAGATAACCCATCTCCGATTACGACTTGTGGGTGATGCATTTTTCAGAAATATTATTGCGAAATCCTGTAAATTTAACGATTTTTATCATAAATTGCAAAGAAACTGCAGCAGTAAACTACGGGAACTTTCCGGATTTGAATTCAGCGTATTTTATTCTATAGAAACACGTAGTTTTTTTTTAGTTTAAAGAGGTGTGCAACGAAACTCCATTTCTAGAGCCTTTTTCGGAAATAGACGACGGTCTATCAGATTGTCAGCATAGAGATAGCATCATACGTTATATCCACAGCATAACAAGTACGAAAGAAAATTTAAAGAAGGTAACTTTTACTTGTGTATGGTACAAAGTACAAAGAACTATTACTTTGCAAAAAACTTATACAACAGTGCTCATTCATAGAAATGCGAATAATTTGGACCAAAACAGTCAAATTTGCATCGTGTAACGATAAACACAGGTTGAGCATTCCGATCTTAAGTTTTGAATGCAATTCTACTAAATAGTTTTCCAACTAACCCTGCATGGCGTTATATGTCACATATATATTTGACGGTGTTATATTCAGATATAGCAACCGCTGATTAATGAAATTGCCGATGGAGAAGCTAAGCGATGTTATGCTTGACATAATATTGAAGGGACCCTCAAGCTATATATATGTATTAGTTTTTCAGTTAATCGAGGCTGACATTAATTATAATATAATGATATATATTATCCGGTCTATCAATCGTTTTTCCTTTTTAGTAAAAGCGTTCTTCTCACAGTGGGGCGAAAGTCCAAACGAGACGGTTAGTAATTATCTTCTAGAAAGGAGTTATAGTCAGTTTATGAAATCACTTTGTTAGTCGAGTAAATGGCACTCCCGTGAGTGCTTTGAAATGCATGTATTCTACCAATTGCAAATTTGCATGAGTACTTTATTTATCGATAAGCAATTTGTAGTGGTGACGACTCTACAGGTTTAAAACCGTAATCATTACGTAACTTTTTTTGTAATCACTACGTAATTTTCAAAAAGTATAAAATCCAATTCATATAGCGCGATAAACATTTACATCACGAGACCAAAAGTGCCCTTTTTGTCTTCTACGTACTTACACATGCCCAAAGCTTGTAGAGCATAAATATACTCCTTGCAACTGGGTATCAAACCGTCCCAATACATATTTTCATCAACCTAAAGTGGTGCTCCCCATTCTCTGGGTGCTTCCTACGCCCCTGTATACTCTGTTACGTTATGTTGTAAACTCCCAATTGCTGGGATGACTACAGGACTAAGGACATTATGCGCAAAGCATTAACAACTAGTTTGTCATAAGACGAAAGTCAAACCCAAAATCACAATTAAAATCACCCGTGAGTGTTTTCAAAGCCCATTCACACTGCGCACAATTTAAGTTTTGGTACTGATTAAATTAGTTCCGATAAAAATTGAACCATCAATTTTAAGTACTTCAAATGTCATCAATGTCAATTTTATCTGTAGCAAAACTAAAAATTAACATATAAAATTTGTATGAGTGAAACTTTATGCTGTAATTGTAACTACTTTTAGAATTTTAAAATTTTATCGGTACAATTTTTTTATCCCTACCATTAGATATATGTTAATTCAAACTTTAAATAATAATTGTCAGTAAGCTAAATTATCAATATGAAATTCATACGAAAATGAATTCTAATAAAAGAAGAACGTATTCTAGATGCCAAAATTCTTAAAACCGCAGGTGGCTAGTTTGTGTTCGAGAAGATACCGCTACCGATCTACAAAAGATTCTTGAGACTGATTGGTGCTTTGATAAGAGATTCCTAAATTCAGTGCATTCCGTTTGCATGTCTATGTTGATGTTACTTTGTCATGCAGATAATATTGTGATATATTGTGTTTCTAAAAAATCGTGTAGCGATGGAAATACAGATTCGCAGATTTGATCGAAGACAAGTGAAATTGCTTTAACTAAGCTGCAGTTCAGGTTCACAGAGTTTACCATATTTGGCAGTATATTTTGATTCAAAAAAAAATGGAGTAAATTAACTCATCAGGGTGTCAACTAAATTATTACTCCATGCAGCGTCAGCGACGGAGTTGAAAAATTTGCCTCGGTTTTTTTTATTATTTTTTTGCGTCGTTGGAAGTGTGTTTTGGCGAGTAATATATACCAGTATTTCAAATGTGTATTTGACCGTACTTATCTACGTCACAGTTTTGTCTCCCAAGTTTGTGGTTCACAGCTTTGGCTAATTTTCCAATGCGCGATTTGATTTCGCTCGCATGATGTTTACTTTCATACTGTTCGATTAAGTTTAGAATTAATTGGGGTCAGAATATATTTAATACATGTAAGTACTGGTCCCATTTTAATAATATCGCTGCTATTTCGCTGTTTAACAAGATGTGGTCGTGTATGGGTGCGTTGACACGTCGTAGTTTGCACAGGATTGATGATTTAATATAATTATATAAGCGCGAGTTACAAAGGCAAAGTGTAAGACACAGCAGTGAACGTATCATGCGGTTTATTTACATTTTTGAACAATCGAACTTCTATACTTTTAAAGTACGATGTGCTTCTGAATTTCGCGATCGAATAACATTTAGGTTGGCAAGGTATCTAAATGAGTGTGAATTGTATTCAGTGTAATGTTTATGGCACATTATCTAAACAATCTTTGTGTATTTGTGACATATATTTGAAGGTATACTATATATGAAAGGTTTATTGAACGGATAGCTTTCAATTAGGTGAAGCTTGCATTACTCATAATATAAATATTTTAGATGAATTAAAGTGCTCTGGTTATTCGATTTTTAAGGTCTTACATGCATAATTATGAAACCATTTTTTAGTGCGACGTTTCTTAGCACAGTGGGGCGAAATCCAAACAAAACGGTTAGTCATGTAGTTATATAATCACTTTGTGTGCATACGACTCGAGGCAGTGCTCGAATTGAAGAGTATTTAGACAAGCTTGGGTATTTTCTTGCTCAATCAGCCTTTGTGGTTGAGACAAGGCTTGGGCGCTTTACTTCAAGCAGTCAAAATGGTAAAACCGCGTTTTTGTACGTACGCACTGTTATTTTCAACGTGTTATTTTAACCCCCAAAATAGGGGTTACAAAAAAAAAGTCTAAAATAAGCCCTTTTTGGGGGTTAAAGTGATCCCCTTATGGGTATTAAAATTTAACTCCGATTTTGGGATTAAAATGACACCTATTTGGGTGTTAAAATGAACCTGTTGGGTATTAAAAATTTAATCCCGTTTAGGGTGTTAAATTTACTTAATACCAATACGGGATTAAAAGACACAGGTTTTAAAATGATTAATTGTAAATTTTTAAAAGCTCACCTAAAGGTAAATTACTTCGATGGAAAGACATTTTCCACTTGATTTTCTTTTCAATTGTGATCTATCAAGTGAATCTGCTTCGGTTTAATTTCACAATTGAGAAGAGAATTGAGCGAAATATTCCGTTCCATCGAAGATTTCCACCTCCACCTATATAGTAAAAAACCTTAAAAATACCGAATCAACAAACAAGCACCACAAATATCGTTATTATATATTATTATAATATTGAACACATGAGATCAATTACGTTTCCGTTTGAGTACAACTAGTTAACTACGCATTAAAGGAATTGCTTCCGTAGTATAGCTCTTTAATACTTTTTATTTACATTTTAATACACATGCACATTTGCAAAAAAAATAAAGAAAACGTTTTTAGGTGGAGTAGCATGCATGCATGCATGAAACACAATGGTATAGTCATTAAGGCACTTGCTGTTCAGTTCTACTAAGCTAAGACTCACTCAACCAAGATGATGATCTGGCTGTAAGCAATTCTGATCCACGTTTCTTCTTTTACAATTTGCCTCGTAGTAAAATTTGCGGAGGTTTTCTGTTGTGCCAATTGCACGAAACGAGTCTTCATTCTACGAACAAATAGAAAAATGGCATGTATATGAGTGTAAATTTGAGTAGTGTGCTGTGTATGCATACACTAGAGCACATTCTTCAACAGACCTGCAAATTCTACATGTTCTACGTGATCCAAAATGCAAACATACTCAAACAAATAAGCAGAAACATGTGAGTATAAGGAAGAAATAATTTCAAGTAATTCAGGCTTATAATATAAAAAAATACGAAAAAAATATTCCACATACCTAGATTTGCTGCCTGCAGTGTTATCAGAATAAGTTGCTTCGTCCATTGAAAATTGAACAGTTTTTTTTAGAGTTGTTTTCGACATCGTTTTGCTAGGTTAGGGCTTTCTGGAATTGAAATGCATCCCAAATCTTCAGAAATTTTAATAATACTTCAACCCACTTTGTCTTTGAGTTTCCCATTGGCACTGCTTCTTCTACTTTCTACCAGGCATTGTGGACCTCTGTCCTTCTACTGCTTCTAAAGATACGAATGCGAATTGTTATAGACTATTTTATTATCCCAGGAACTTTTAAGGTAAATATCGGAGGCTCGCGATATCATGTATTCATGCTGATCAGAAACACAAAAACACTTCCCTGTCATTTTTGCGACTGAAAAACTATTTTCCCAACAGCCCCACAGGAAAAAATAAATCGACTAGCATCAAAAATTATAGAAACAACTATTTGAAAAACATTTTAGAATCAAACTATCAGAATCTTGCAATAAATTTGTCTTCATGGCGAGAAATTTTGGACACGCACAGGGGGGTTCTAATTTATTCTAACGAATAAATTGTTCTAATTTATTCTAACGAATCACAAGTGAAATACACACGATATATCACATTCTAAATACCCTAAAATGCGACGAAAAAAGTTCGAATATGCCTTAAAACCATGGCAACAAGTCAAGGCTTGGTTGCCTAGCAAATATGGACGATGAAAAACAATTTCAGTTATTTTTTGAAGAGTTTTTTGGGGAAAAAGGTCAGTTTTGATGAAAATATAACGTTGAAATTTGCTGATTTTGAAGCTAAAAACCGCAAGAGATATATATTCTTCACATTTTTGCACTGATGGGTGTTTA